AAAAAAAAAGTCATTTGTTGAACATTTTCTGATGTAAGTGCCCTAAATCCTCATCCAGCAAACCGCTGTTCTGTTCCAGTTTGTTTACAAAGCTTTAATCAGACGTCTGATCAGTTACAAAGCTGACATAAGTGAATATTTATCTATTTTGCATTTTTATTAAACTGTGTTAATCCAAAGAACGGACACTGTTTGACAGCTTTAAGTTAAAATTCATAGAAAATAAACAACAGAAAAATAAATTCGGCTTGTTTTAAAATTTAGAACCTTTAGCATCTTAGCAATCAAAAAAGTAAGGAAACCCAAACATTTTGGACTTTAGTGTGATATTTGCATGCAGCATCGCAAATACTACCATTGTCAAATGGAACAAAGTCAAGCTGTGTAGATTATAAGTATGAAGTATTAACCTCCTGGTATTTACTAGCAGGTTCAGCCGTACTTGTAAAATGTCAGTTGGACCTTTATCGAATATCTATTCTTCAGGGAAGAGGAAGAATGAGCCACTTCTGCATAATAAAATAACCAGTTAAGATTACTTTTTTCTGTTGCTTAATCTTGTACGCACGTTCTCTTGAGCTGACGCATCTCCTGTTTTGCAGGCTGGACGGGATGAAAGCACCAATGTGGACGAGGCCCAGGCTATTCAAGATGCCAAGGTAAAGGTTCAGGTCATAAGGGAAAAATGGTGTATTTAACTCGCCTGTTACACAGGCGTAGAGACTGGTTGACAACAATTTTATGTCTGTGATTATAGGAAATCTATGAGGCTGGTGAGGCTCGATGGGGCACAGATGAGGTTAAATTCCTCACAGTGCTTTGTGTGAGGAACCGAAACCATCTGCTGCGAGGTACTATAAGTGCTTGGTGTCATGTGAAAATACTTTGCATTGCCTTACTTCCTTAAATTGGCCACCAAAGGAATTTCAGTTAATGATTATATCAAATTTATGACCAAAATCACTTGTTAAATCACATAATCTTTTAATTAGTGAGTCATCAGGTCACTATTGGCAACTTCCTTATGAATCACGTTATGTCCCACTCCAGTGTTTCAGGAGTATCAGAAGATTTCTGGGAGAGACATTGAGGAGAGCATCAAGAGGGAGATGTCTGGCTGCCTGGAAGACGTCTTTCTGGCTATAGGTGTGTCTTTTCAGTTACGTACGTGATCCTTCAGATGAAGTCTAAGATACACGTGGGTTCAAATTAGCACAGAAAATAAATAAATAAGCAAGCTTACAATATTTGCTGCTGATTTACCAGGTGGTCTGTATAAAGTTTATTGCAGAAACACAAAAATACACTGATCAGTTGACACTAAATATTTAAAAATGCACAAAATGAGGAATTGCAGGTCGACTTAAGGCCTACTCTTCAGTCACAAGAGATCAAATAAATGCTGCTGTTCACAATATTTTTTTAATATATTAACCAAGTAGAATAAATTGTTTTTCTGCATCATACACTACGATTTGCATCTCATGTGCAGTGATTTGTTTTCTACTTTGCAGTGAAATGCATCAGGAACAAGCCGGCTTTTTTTGCTGAGCGATTATACAAATCAATGAAGGTAAATATTTCATGCAGTAATACATAGCTACTTTTCTTTCTTCCACTTCCAGTTCTATCATAAAACAACCACAAACATAAAGAATTACTTCCATTAAGTGCTACTGTATGCAAAAGCCTCCTGTCACCCCTCATTTCTGTATATTTTGCTAGGAAAATGGGAAATGGATTCAGAGATTTATTCAAATGCGTTCAAACATACATGGAAATACAGCATATAAGGCAAAAACAGAGCTTGTGCAATTATAATGAGCCTGCAAATTCAATATTTGGTATGACAACCTTTATGCTTCAACACAGCCTGAACTCTCTCAGACAGTTTTTCTTGTAATTTCTTTAAAAAGTCTGCAAGTATAGTTCAACTCTGGATGTTGGCTGCCTTTTGTCCTGTTCTCTGCTTCATTAATGTTGAAGTTGGACCTCACCATTAATGGCTTCTTGACAGCTATTGAGCTCATTTCTGATGAGGGTATGGCAGACAATAGATTGATCAGCTGAAGGGCGGGATGTATCTTTCAGGTCCTGTGGCACATGGCCCACTATGGTATATAAAACACTTTTGTTTTTCCTTCTTCAAACAGCACTTGTCTAACATTCACACACTCTAAAGAATGCATCAGGGGAAACTTGGAGTTCAATATCTTTCCCAAAAATATTTAGCCATACAGACATGCATCAAACCACCGACCACTCAGTTGGTAGACGACACCCTCTACTTCCTGAGATGCAGCCAGCCTTGCATCAGGTCTTTGTTGGATTTTTTTTTTTAAATTTCTTAAGGACATGACTTTCAGATACTTTTGATCTGATGTAGATGGTTTCTTAAGCCTGCCACTTTTTCTTTTGTTCTCACAGTTGCTGGCATGCTGAGATTTGCCCAGGTTTTAGCTAATAGCACCTTGTTGGTCCAAAAATACAATTTCATGCCTGTCAAACGTTGTTATTTTTGACATTACTATTATTATTATGTTTTTGTAGGTTCAAATAAAAGAAAAGGAGCAAATTGTGTTTTTGGAACAAACACATTTTTTGTGACAGGCTGTTACTGTAGCCTGTCACAAAATGCCTAAAGACAACAATTTAAACTTGGTTCTTTGCTAAGCTTCCCTTAGATTTTTTTTTTTATGCTTCTATAATTCATAATTTCGTGTTAAATGGTTTGAACAAACAAGCAAACAAAAAACATCCCTGTGAAAGTGGAAATGAGTGGAAAAATCAACCATTGTCCAAAGGAAAAAATCTGAAAGACCTTCAGAGAGCCTGAATAATGATTGCTCAAAACTACTTTGTACAAGGAAGTCGGGCTTCTTGTAGGTAGATATAAAAATAAAAGTGGCTCAAGATTGTTGCACAGCACTGTATGCCATAATATATTATGAACTAGGCCAAAAAGAAATCAGTCCGAGGCTGTTATAGTCTGCGGCAGAGTCCAGTGCAGTACAAATACAGTTTTTGTTTCTCTCTTTCCAGGGCCTGGGCACTACAGACAGTGTTCTTATCCGGATAATGGTAGCCAGGGCTGAGATTGACATGTTGGACATTAAAGCACAGTTCATGAAGATGTATGGAAAAACTCTACACTCCTTCATCAAGGTGAGGCACCGAAGAAAGGGGACGGTAACGCCCTTTCGTCAGCAAAAGCTTTGCAATACTGGGGTGTAATATATGCACTTCTGACTTTATGTAATGTCCTTATGTTGTTTTGAAATGTTGCAAGACAATATTTAAGATAATTTTGGGGGGGTTCAGAAGCCTTGAAGTTGTAAAAATATGTTCAAATTTTTCCTTTTTACCCCCCGTAGGGAGACACATCTGGTGACTACCGCAAAATCCTGCTCGAGCTCTGTGGAGGCGAGTAAAGAAAATCTCACTCCAACATTCAGCCATGCGTTTACTCTGGAATCTACAATATTGGCTTTTTTTTATTACAGTTTGTTCATCTGTGCTTTTTACATTTCACTGTGCCTTATTTGACGCTTTCTAAAGACAATTAAACCAAAGATCAGTGACCTGTGCAGAGATTTCTGTTTTTTCTTGTCCTTGTTGTTGATGCTGTGTTAAGGATTTATTAATTGCATTATAGAGGGTGAAATTTATATGCTTTCCACATAAAAGCAACACAAAGATGGATGTTGTTGGCATCTAGCTGTTTTTACAGTGCAGCATTTTCATTACCATCTAGTCAATGAAGTCCATTTGTTTAATTGGTAGCAGTTCCTCATTTGCTAAGTCAGCCCTTTATCATTTGATTCAATTACTTAACAAGATGCTATCTTGATTTGGGAGGCAGTACATGCTCTAATCAGGTTATCGGGAATGTCACATAAAGTATAAACTTACAGCTCAGTGTCTGAACAATTGGCCCAGGTAATGCTGTAGTGTGCAGTGGTCAAGGTGAACAGTAGGTGGAACCAAAACAACTCCAAATAGGAGCTGTGGGCCCATAAAAGTCAAGCCAATGAAGAGGCCTCTTTAAACTTCCATTCTCAGCTGCAAAAAGAAAAATGCCTGAAAAATGCCCCATTGCTTACTTCATTTATGACCTCATGGTCTCAGTCACTAGTTTCAGTTCTTCTTCAGTGAAGCAAGACGTTCATTTTCTTACATTTTGGTCACTTCTAATGCAAAATGGATGAAAAAGCAGAGTATGCTTTATGGCGGTCCTAGTGAGTGATCAGTGTACAAAACGAGAATGCACTGGTCTCCAGATCCATGACATCCTGACATCCATATTTTCTGTAATGTTTGTTTGCTCCCTGGACAATCTGGTGGCATGTTCAACCGTATAAGCGGGCTCCTTGCTATTTTATCTGGCCTGTTTTTATAGCTTGAAACCATTTACCGGTAAGAAGGAAAAAACAAGGCGTTTTCAAGGCTGTCTTGAAGTTTTAGAGGCCCCAAAAGGCTGCTGTGTTGTTTAGCCCTGCATAGTTATCGTGCAGTTATAGAGTTTGTGCCCCTTTATTGATCTCGGTCTTATTACAGGTGTGTAAATTCTTTAAAACATTTTAAATTTGTAATGTCATTTTCTGCCTTATCGCATTGTTATATATATTGTGATGCAAAAGCTTTCAAAGAAATCTTTTTTTTTTATTGCGTTCAGTTTAATCCTTTTTTACAAGCACCTTTGGTAAATTCTATTCACAAGACAGAAAGAGGATTTGGTATTTCACTGTGTACTGTAATATATGAGCTAATCAAGGTAAACATTATAAAAGACCACTTAGAAAGAATGACTCGACAGGACATATGTTACTACAGCAAAAAACAACTAGACAAGGTGACAATAAGTCGATACAGCAAACACAAGCGACGACATTTTATATCTCAAGGAATGCACCGATAGCAAGGTCACACACGGAGGTCATTTCTTTATATTTACTTCAACACATTAAGAATTATCCTTAAATAGTCCTGTGTAAGGTGAATGAACACAGCACTGCAGATGTACCAGACAGCACAAGAGAAATAACAGCAAAGCAAGAAAACCTCCAGCAAACCGTATGTAATGCATACTGTGCACTCAGCCCTCTGCTGACATAAGTGGGCGGTAAGCTGAGACAGAAGATCATTATCAACAATATGGATTTGTCAACAAGTAAAAAGGTATGCTGCTTTGGCTTCAGGACCAATGTGGCTGTCATGTTACCGTAAAAGGTGGAAATATAGAAAAGTGTTTCAAGTTCACAGTAACTAATGCAAGACTGGGGAAATGAATGTATATGTGTGTTTCTTAAGGTGAATTGGCATCACAAACCACAATTTTTTTTTCTTTTTTTCTTTACATTCAGTTTTAGATTTGCTTTGTTTGTGATTCAAGCCTCATTCAGTACACATGCAGGAAGTAAAAGACAGCACTGGTTTAAAGAGGACTTGATTTACATGTACATGAGCTTAAACTACCAACATGCCACTGTAGTCAACAACATGCTGAATGAAAGAAGTGGATGAGTAAACAAATATGCATAATGTTCTGCTTTGACATTTAAGATGAAGAAGCTTGAATTTCTTGTTGAATCTTCCAGAAAGTATATGAAGGGAAAATGAAAGACGTACAAAGGATTTAAGAGGGCGGCATGGTGCCGTGGTTCGCTGTGTTGTCATGCCAAGAAAGTGGTGGGTTCTCTCCAGGTAATCTGGCTTCCTGTCACAGTCCAAAAACATTCATGTTATATTAATAAATGGTTATATTGGCTGTAGGTGTGAATGTGAATGTGACACTGGCTTGACCCTCTTGGCTCATGACAGTTGGATAAGTGAGTTGCGACCCTGAATCAGGTAAGTAAAAGAAAATGATCAGATGATGGGTTTAAAGAAGAAAAGCAGTTTAGCGCTAGTGTAGCGCCTGATCATTTTAGCAAAAATGCAGATTCTCCTGAATGCCACATCTCCCGTCATATTTTAATTGTAACCTCGCCCTCTAGTGGCTATATGCAAGCTACCACACTGGCAAGAACCCAGGTGACTCATATTTGTTTTGCTGTTGTGATCATTAATATGAATTTTAAATAAGACTTTTGTGTGACCTTTGCACAAATATTATTGTAGCTATGACAAAGTAAGTCAAACCCAAACCTGATCTTTATCTAAGCTTCACCAAAGTGTTTTTTATGCGTAAACCTGACAATCTACACTCGAAAAGTGAAATTGAGTGGTCATTACATTTACAAGAGTCTAACTTAACTGATTATATGTTTCTATGTTGAACATAATTTAATCTGCATGAAATTCAACAACTTAATACTTGTTATTAATTTATTCTTACTGAGATGAAGTGATACAGTCTAGCAAGGGTGGTTAGTTACTTGATTTCACAAGATCACGTGAGATTTCAAACCAAAGGAAAATCACTGGGGTTATAAGAGGCAGAAAAGCATACACACACCACATGCACGCTCTTGCTTTTTATTGTGATTTAACCTGTCAAAGACAAAAACATAAATAAAATTCTGTATCAAGCCTTGATTCCTGCTGTGGCGTGACAGTTCAGTGGCACGGTGGTTAGCCCTGTTACCTCACAGCAAGAAGGTCCTGATTTCAAATCTACTAACTGCCTGGGGCCTTTTCTGTGTTGTTCTCTCTGGGTCCTCAGCCTTCCTCCCACAATCCAATTAACTGATGATTAACTGAGGCAACAAGTCAGGTTTTTGCAGTGTACTTGTTTCATTGTTTCCTGAAAAAACCTGACTAGTTGCTCGGAAAATGCACAGAAGTACAGGGTACTTACAGTGTAATTGTTTCATTGTTTTGAGGGTCTTGCATGTGACTCTATAATATGGCTCGCATTCCAGAAAACCTGATCTGTGGCCTGCAAAATGCACATAAGTACAGGGTACTTGCGCCTTATTTGCTAGTCGTGTTATAATGTTTTACCAAACAAAATATAATAAATGACTTTATATTAGCATTAAATACTTTGTTAATGTAATTTGCGTGGGTTGGATTAACTCAATTAAATCAAGTTGATTAGTCATTAATTACGTTGGTCCAACTCAAATAAGTGAAGTTGAAATAACAGAATTGCCTAATGCTAAAATAAAGCAATTTAATAACATGGAAATCCTTTCCATGATTTTTTTCATGGCCTTTCAAAATAGCCAAGCAAAAATGTACTGACCCTCACCAAGTGCTTACAGCATCATTGTTGTACAAAGATAAAACAGAAGTGACTGCAGAAACTCACATCAGCCACAGGTCACTAATGGGCTGCAGAGTGTAGTGAGGGTCAAACACCTGAGCCGCCTAATGGTGGGTGTATACAATAGAGAGAGTGTTGTTAATATATTTTTTACATATATAATCTATTTCTGTTTAACTTTTAATTTGGCTTAGTTTCCCGAAGGCCACATTACCCACCTTCTTCTGCTTCTAACAAAATTGTACTTCAAAAATGGCAGGGCAAAATTATGCAGGAAATATGTTATATGTTGCTTGGTGCTGATGTGCAGCTGCATTTTTTTTTACAAGATTTTCACACATGGCCACCTGCTGGGACAAAGAAATGACACTAAATACCTCTTTCCAGCAGTGTGCCAGTGCAAAGCCAGTTCTGTGTTTCTGTTTGAGCACCAGCCCAGATATCAGTGGATCTGAGAACTCCTTATTATTATGTATAGTATTATAATTTCCCTCGGGATGAATAAAGTATTCTGCTTCTGATTCTGATTACCAGCAGAAGCTGGGGTCAGCTGAATTTTTTTGACTTTCAAAGTTAAGGTTCACAGCTGAAATCTGAAGCTATTTGTTTAGGTTTTTATTTATTATTTATAAAGCTAAACAGATATTCATCCCTCATTTTTGCTTTACTTCAAAGAGACACCTTAATTACCTTTAAAGAAATACAGATTTAAATATTTTCAGTGACATGAAAGCTGAGCAAATGGGCCCATTAATGAATTTCACAGAAATTCATTAAGCAAAAATAGAGGGTATTATGTGATCTGAAATTTGCTCCATAACATGATCATTATTCATTGCTTTCCTGCTCAGTATTGATCCATTACTTCATTCTCATCTAGTGGGATTAAAGTAATTTATTACCATTCCTCGGTGAAAATCCTGAGCACATATACTTAGTCTGACCAACTTTGTGCTCTTTTACTTGAAACATTTGCTTGCTTCATGAGGGAAAAACACATTACGCAAATGTGTTCGCATACACAAACATGTTGTGTAAATTAAAGCAAATGCCGGAGGAGCAGGCGAGGTGCAAATGCTTGCAGCGTAATTTAGCTCCCAATTTACACAAGCAAACAAACAAAATGCTCATCGTGTTCAATCGCTGAGAGATTAGGAAGAAATTTGCATAACACAAATCAGTGACAGGAAGTGGCAGGCAGGTGGGGGGTGGGGGTTCTCTGTGCAAAGAAAACTGAGATGACACATGGGATTTTAAAAACAGATACTGACTCACTCACTGTTCAATCGCTGTTCAAACTGTCTTGTTGAAAGTTTTCTTTGACGTTTTCTCTCTTTCTATGTAAATAAGTTCATGTCTGTGGATCAAATCTGATC